TGGCGGGTATTACAGCCACATGGCGTGTATTACAGCCACATGGCGTGTATTACAGCCACATGGCGTGTATTACAGCCACATGGCGTGTATTACAGCCACATGGCGTGTATTACAGCCACATGGCGTGTATTACAGCCATATGGCGTGTATTACAGCCACATGGCGGGTATTACAGCCACATGGCGTGTATTACAGCCACATGGCGTGTATTACAGCCACATGGCGGGTATTACAGCCACATGGCGTGTATTACAGCCATATGGCGTGTATTACAGCCACATGGCGTGTATTACAGCCACATGGCGTGTATTACAGCCACATGGCGTGTATTACAGCCACATGGCGGGTATTACAGCCACATGGCGGGTATTACAGCCACATGGCGTGTATTACAGCCACATGGCGGGTATTACAGCCACATGGCGGGTATTACAGCCACATGGCGTGTATTACAGCCACATGGCGTGTATTACAGCCACATGGCGGGTATTACAGCCACATGGCGTGTATTACAGCCACATGGCGTGTATTACAGCCACATGGCGGGTATTACAGCCACATGGCGTGTATTACAGCCACATGGCGGGTATTACAGCCACATGGCGTGTATTACAGCCACATGGCGTGTATTACAGCCACATGGCGGGTATTACAGCCACATGGCGGGTATTACAGCCACATGGCGTGTATTACAGCCACGGGTATTACAGCCACATGGCGGGTATTACAGCCACATGGCGTGTATTACAGCCACATGGCGGGTATTACAGCCACATGGCGTGTATTACAGCCACATGGCGTGTATTACAGCCACATGGCGTGTATTACAGCCACATGGCGTGTATTACAGCCACATGGCGTGTATTACAGCCATATGGCGTGTATTACAGCCATATGGCGGGTATTACAGCCACATGGCGGGTATTACAGCCACATGGCGTGTATTACAGCCACATGGCGTGTATTACAGCCACATGGCGTGTATTACAGCCATATGGCGGGTATTACAGCCACATGGCGTGTATTACAGCCACATGGCGTGTATTACAGCCACATGGCGTGTATTACAGCCACATGGCGGGTATTACAGCCACATGGCGGGTATTACAGCCACATGGCGGGTATTACAGCCACATGGCGTGTATTACAGCCACATGGCGGGTATTACAGCCACATGGCGGGTATTACAGCCACATGGCGGGTATTACAGCCACATGGCGGGTATTACAGCCACATGGCGGGTATTACAGCCACATGGCGGGTATTACAGCCACATGGCGGGTATTACAGCCACATGGCGGGTATTACAGCCACATGGCGGGTATTACAGCCACATGGCGGGTATTACAGCCACATGGCGGGTATTACAGCCACATGGCGGGTATTACAGCCACATGGCGGGTATTACAGCCACATGGCGGGTATTACAGCCACATGGCGGGTATTACAGCCACATGGCGGGTATTACAGCCACATGGCGGGTATTACAGCCACATGGCGTATTACAGTATTACAGCCACATGGCGTATTACAGCCACATGGCGTGTATTACAGCCATGGCGTGTATTACAGGCGTGTATTACAGCCACATGGCGTGTATTACAGCCACATGGCGTGTATTACAGCCACATGGCGGGTATTACAGCCACATGGCGTGTATTACAGCCACATGGCGTGTATTACAGCCACATGGCGTGTATTACAGCCACATGGCGTGTATTACAGCCACATGGCGTGTATTACAGCCACATGGCGTGTATTACAGCCATATGGCGTGTATTACAGCCACATGGCGGGTATTACAGCCACATGGCGTGTATTACAGCCACATGGCGTGTATTACAGCCACATGGCGGGTACAGCCACATGGCGTGTATTACAGCCACGTGTATATTACAGCCACATGGCGGGTATTACAGCCACATGGCGTGTATTACAGCCACATGGCGGGTATTACAGCCACATGGCGGGTATTACAGCCACATGGCGTGTATTACAGCCACATGGCGTGTATTACAGCCACATGGCGTGTATTACAGCCACATGGCGTGTATTACAGCCACATGGCGTGTATTACAGCCACATATTACAGCCACATGGCCACATGGCGGGCCACATATTACAGCCACATGGCGGGTATTACAGCCATATGGCGTGTATTACAGCCACATGGCGGGTATTACAGCCACATGGCGTGTATTACAGCCACATGGCGTGTATTACAGCCACATGGCGGGTATTACAGCCACATGGCGGGTATTACAGCCACATGGCGTGTATTACAGCCACATGGCGGGTATTACAGCCACATGGCGTGTATTACAGCCACATGGCGTGTATTACAGCCACATGGCGTGTATTACAGCCACATGGCGTGTATTACAGCCACATGGCGTGTATTACAGCCACATGGCGTGTATTACAGCCACATGGCGTGTATTACAGCCACATGGCGGGTATTACAGCCACATGGCGGGTATTACAGCCACATGGCGTGTATTACAGCCACATGGCGTGTATTACAGCCACATGGCGTGTATTACAGCCACATGGCGTGTATTACAGCCACATGGCGGGTATTACAGCCACATGGCGGGTATTACAGCCACATGGCGGGTATTACAGCCACATGGCGGGTATTACAGCCACATGGCGGGTATTACAGCCACATGGCGTGTATTACAGCCACATGGCGGGTATTACAGCCACATGGCGTGTATTACAGCCACATGGCGGGTATTACAGCCACATGGCGGGTATTACAGCCACATGGCGGGTGTATTACAGCCACATGGCGGGTATTACAGCCACATGGCGGGTATTACAGCCACATGGCGGGTATTACAGCCACATGGCGTGTATTACAGCCACATGGCGGGTATTACAGCCATATGGCGTGTATTACAGCCACATGGCGGGTATTACAGCCACATGGCGGGTATTACAGCCATATGGCGTGTATTACAGCCACATGGCGGGTATTACAGCCATATGGCGGGTATTACAGCCACATGGCGGGTATTACAGCCACATGGCGGGTATTACAGCCATATGGCGTGTATTACAGCCACATGGCGGGTATTACAGCCACATGGCGGGTATTACAGCCATATGGCGTGTATTACAGCCACATGGCGGGTATTACAGTATTACAGCCATATGGCGTGTATTACAGCCACATGGCGGGTATTACAGCCACATGGCGGGTATTACAGCCACATGGCGTGTATTACAGCCACATGGCGGGTATTACAGCCACATGGCGGGTATTACAGCCACATGGCGTGTATTACAGCCACATGGCGTGGTATTACAGCCATATGGCGTGTATTACAGCCACATGGCGGGTATTACAGCCACATGGCGGGTATTACAGCCATATGGCGTGTATTACAGCCACATGGCGGGTATTACAGCCACATGGCGGGTATTACAGCCATATGGCGTGTATTACAGCCACATATTACAGCCACATGGCGGGTATTACAGCCACATGGCGGGTATTACAGCCACATGGCGGGTATTACAGCCACATGGCGGGTATTACAGCCATATGGCGTATTACAGTATTACAGCCACATGGCGGGTATTACAGCCACATGGCGGGTATTACAGCCACATGGCGGGCCACATATTACAGCCACATGGCGGGTATTACAGCCACATGGCGGGTATTACAGCCACATGGCGGGTATTACAGCCACATGGCGGGTATTACAGCCACATGGCGGGTATTACAGCCATATGGCGGGTATTACAGCCACATGGCGGGTATTACAGCCACATGGCGGGTATTACAGCCACATGGCGGGTATTACAGCCACATGGCAGGTATTACAGCCACATGGCGGGTATTACAGCCACATGGCGGGTATTACAGCCACATGGCGGGTATTACAGCCATATGGCGGGTATTACAGCCACATGGCGGGTATTACAGCCATATGGCGTGTATTACAGCCACATGGCGGGTATTACAGCCACATGGCGGGTATTACAGCCATATGGCGTGCCACATGGCGGGTATTACAGCCACATGGCGGGTATTACAGCCACATGGCGGGTATTACAGCCACATGGCGGGTATTACAGTATTGTGTTACAGCCACATGGCGCCACATGGCGGGTATTACAGCCACATGGCGGGTATTACAGCCATATGGCGTGTATTACAGCCACATGGCGGGTATTACAGCCACATGGCGGGTATTACAGCCACATGGCGGGTATTACAGCCACATGGCGTGTATTACAGCCATATGGCGTGTATTACAGCCACATGGCGGGTATTACAGCCACATGGCGGGTATTACAGCCACATGGCGGGTATTACAGCCACATGGCGGGTATTACAGCCACATGGCGTGTATTACAGCCACATGGCGGGTATTACAGCCACATGGCGGGTATTACAGCCACATGGCGGGTATTACAGCCACATGGCGGGTATTACAGCCACATGGCGGGTATTACAGCCACATGGCGGGTATTACAGCCACATGGCGGGTATTACAGCCACATGGCGGGTATTACAGCCACATGGCGGGTATTACAGCCACATGGCGGGTATTACAGCCACATGGCGGGTATTACAGCCACATGGCGGGTATTACAGCCACATGGCGGGTATTACAGCCACATGGCGGGTATTACAGCCACATGGCGGGTATTACAGCCCAGCCACATGGCGGGTATTACAGCCACATGGCGGGTATTGCAGCCACATGGCGGGTATTACAGCCATATGGCGGGTATTACAGCCATATGGCGTGTATTACAGCCACATGGCGGGTATTACAGCCACATGGCGGGTATTACAGCCACATGGCGTGTATTACAGCCACATGGCGTGTATTACAGCCACATGGCGTGTATTACAGCCACATGGCGTGTATTACAGCCACATGGCGTGTATTACAGCCACATGGCGTGTATTACAGCCACATGGCGTGTACCACAGCCACATGGCGGGTATTACAACCACATGGCGTTTATTACAGCCACATGGCGTGTACCACAGCCACATGGCGTGTACCACGGCCACATGGCGTGTACCACGGCCACATGGCGTGTATTACGGCCACATGGCGTGTACCACGGCCACACGGCGTGTATTACGGCCACATGGCGTGTACCACGGCCACACGGATTGTACCACAGCCACACGGATTGTACCACAGCCACACGGATTGTACCACAGCCACACGGATTGTACCACAGCCACACGGCGTGTACCACAGCCACACGGCGTGTACCACAGCCACACGGCGTGTACCACAGCCACACGGCGTGTACCACAGCCACACGGCGTGTACCGCAGCCACACGGCGTGTACCACAGCCACACGGCGTGTACCACAGCCACACGGCGTGTACCACAGCCACACGGCGTGTACCACAGCCACACGGCGTGTACCACAGCCACACGGCGTGTACCACAGCCACATCGTTAACAAACCGAGAGGAAAAAATGTGGGTGAGAACATCCTGTGTGGTTTGTTAATTTGCCCCCCCCCCCCACTCTCCCCCCCCCCTCCTCCCAGTTCCCATCCCTGTCCCACCCCCCCTCTCCCAGCTCCCATGTCCCATCCCTCTCTCCCATCCTCTCTCCCAGCACCCATCCACACTCACCTTGTAATTTTGAGGTTGGGGGGGCTCCACAACAGGGATGCATACTTGTGAACTGGTCTGACGTACGTGTTCAGGATGCGGCTGAGGCGAGGTTCTGGCAGGCTGTTCTAAGGTCACTTGGGAGGGTTCGCCCGTGTTATATATAGGGAGGTATTTAACGTTGTGTAGCCTCCTGCTGGTCTCTTGGTCCCTTTCACTGTTTTCATCACCTTACACATACTGAGGTTGAAGTCCAGTAGCCACTTTTCGAACGGCTTCAAGGGGGGGGGGGTGGTATGGGAAGAGTGGTTATGTGTGAGTTTTTTTATTACAAATTTTATATGTATATAGGTTATCTTGAGATGATTTCTGGGCTTTAGTGTCCTCGCGGCCCGGTCCTCGACCAGGCCTCCACCCCCCAGGAAGCAGCCCGTGACAGCTGACTAACACCCAGGTACCTATTTTACTGCTAGGTAACAGGGGGGCATAGGGTGAAAGAAACTCTGCCCATTGTTTCTCGCCAGCGCCTGGGATCGAACCCAGGACCACAGGATCACACAAGTCCAGCGTGCTGTCCGCTCGGTCGACCGACCGGAATGCTGGGCTGGTGCAGCATACACGGTAATTAGGAATAATGCCTTTCAACGCGGAAATGCAGAAAAAGCACGTATTGAGAACAATGTCTCTTCACCACAATGGCTAACTGCCATTGTTAGGGCGTTAAGATTCCTTGAACGATACACTAATAACGCAGTGATTTGCGCTGATTCAGAAGCCTTAGTAAAATTCTGGCAGAAAATTCTGCGATAGTCGCTGAAATCAAGAGAGCTGTGAGGGTACCTACCAATCAGGGAAGAGTCAAGTTTCTGTGGATCCCCTCCCATGTTGGGGATCTCCTCCCATGTTGGAATATGTGGGAATGAACGAGCAGATGTGCTGGCTGCTGAAGGCGCTGAAGGAGACCATATTGAATACTTCATACCCAAGACTCTACTACACATTAGAGGTATTGTCAGGCAACATCACCGTGACACGGTAACTGAGGAAAGGAGGATAGAAGCACAAACCAGTGAATCTGTACGATGGTACAACATGGTTGCAGCTGCCAATCCCAATCATTATGGCCGAAGAGGAGGAGGACGAGGGAGAGAATCAGTAATAGCGAGAATCCGTCTTGGATACAAATATCCATGGAGATATGGAATGGAAACAACAGTTGAGCAGCGGAGTTGCAGAATCTGTGGTGAGAGTGATGGACACCGCCTTGACCACTATCTACGTGAATGTGAACACCTGAGAGACATTAGAAGTATGTGTAGAATAATAAACCCCACATTGTTTGAGTTAGGAAAACACTATTTGTCAATTGTAGATGATGTTCTTAAAAGATTCCCCCATTTTGCACCCGCAAGATTACGTCAGATTTTAAGGGTTGATAGATGTTAATCTTCTCCTTTGATGAACTGTACATGCTGCGATGGCGGTGTGTCCACTCACAGGATGAGTAACGCTGCCCAATACTGTCACTATGGCGGTGTGTCCACTCACAGGATGAGTGGCGCTGCCCAATACTGTCACTATGGCGGTGTGTCCACTCACAGGATGAGTGGCGCTGCCCAATACTGTCACTATGGCGGTGTGTCCACTCACAGGATGAGTGACGCTGCCCAATACTGTCACTATGACGGTGTGTCCACTCACAGGATGAGTGGCGCTGCCCAATACTGTCACTATGGCGGTGTGTCCACTCACAAGATGAGTGGCGCTGTCCAATACTGTCACTATGGCGGTGTGTCCACTCACAGGATGAGTGACGCTGCCCAATACTGTCACTATGGCGGTGTGTCCACTCACAGGATGAGTGGCGCTGCCCAATACTGTCACTATGGCGGTGTGTCCACTCACAGGATGAGTGGCGCTGCCCAATACTGTCACTATGGCGGTGTGTCCACTCACAGGATGAGTGACGCTGCCCAATACTGTCACTATGACGGTGTGTCCACTCACAGGATGAGTGGCGCTGCCCAATACTGTCACTATGGCGGTTTGTCCACTCACAGGATGAGTGGCGCTGTCCAATACTGTCACTATGGCGGTGTGTCCACTTACAGGATGAGTAACGCTGCCCAATACTGTCACTATGGCGGTGTGTCCACTCACAGGATGAGTGACGCTGCCCAATACTGTCACTATGGTGGTGTGTCCACTCACAGGATGAGTGGCGCTGACCAATACTGTCACTATGGCGGTGTGTCCACTCACAGGATGAGTGGCGCTGCCCAATACTGTCACTATGGCGGTGTGTCCACTCACAGGATGAGTGGCGCTGCCCAATACTGTCACTATGGCGGTGTGTCCACTCACAGGATGAGTGGCGCTGTCCAATACTGTCACTATGGCGGTGTGTCCACTCACAGGATGAGTGGCGCTGCCCAATACTGTCACTATGGCGGTGTGTCCACTCACAGGATGAGTGGCGCTGACCAATACTGTCACTATGGCGGTGTGTCCACTCACAGGATGAGTGACGCTGACCAATACTGTCACTATGGCGGTGTGTCCACTCACAGGATGAGTGGCGCTGCCCAATACTGTCACTATGTCGGTGTGTCCACTCACAGGATGAGTGAGTATTTATGGGGGGAACAAGAAGCTATCCTCTAACTACCAGGATATAACCTCTGGCAATCTACCTACCACACCTAGACAGCGGCTTGTCAGACAGAAACACCACAGGCTGCAATTATCATTTTAGCGGAAAGCGAGGTCACGTCCCACGACCTGACCCCTTAAGGCGACCTGTTACAATTGACACCTGAAAGGCGTGACTGAACAGTACTTAAAGGGCTAACAACCTAGCGCTGCCGATATGCTGTGGGATCGAACTCTCGATTTTATGTAAAAATATTAAATAATTCCATTTATGGTGTTAAAGCGATCACGGAAAAGCCATGAAGGCTCCATGTACGTGGTCACGGACACGCCATGACCATCATGGGAGTGCATGGGAGCAATTAAGGTGTGAACTAGCGTGGGTGGACCTGTTAGCATGGGAGTGGCGCTGACACCATGTGTGGGCGGACGCTCTTTGAGTTCCCAGAGTGAGCAGCACTCCCACACCACCTCCCAGAGTGAGCAGCACCCCCACACCCCCTCCCAGAGTGAAAAGCACTCCCACACCACCTCCCAGAGTGAGCAGCACCCCCCACACCACCTTCCAGAGTGAAAAGCACCCCCACACCACCTCCCAGAGTGAGCAGCACCCCCACACCCCCTCCCAGAGTGAAAAGCACCCCCACACCACCTCCCAGAGTGAGCAGCACCCCCACACCCCCTCCCAGAGTGAAAAGCACTCCCACACCACCTCCCAGAGTGAAGAGCACCCCCACACCACCTCCCAGAGTTAAAAGCACCCCCACACCCCCTCCCAGAGTGTAGAGCACCCCCACACCCCCTCCCAGAGTGTAGAGCACCCCCACACCCCCTCCCAGAGTGAAAAGCACCCCCACACCACCTCCCAGAGTGAGCAGCACCCCCACACCCCCTCCCAGAGTGTAGAGCACCCCCACACCCCCTCCCAGAGTGAACAGCACCCCCACACCACCTCCCAGAGTGTAGAGCACCCCCACACCCCCTCCCAGAGTGTAGAGCACCCCCACACCACCTCCCAGAGTGAACAGCACCCCCACACCACCTCCCAGAGTGAACAGCACTCCCACACCACCTCCCAGAGGGAGCAGTACTCCCACACCACCTCCCAGAGTGAAGAGCACCCCCACACCACCTCCCAGAGTGAACAGCACTCCCACACCACCTCCCAGAGGGAGCAGTACTCCTACACCACCTCCCAGAGGGAGCAGTACTCCCACACCACCTCCCAGAGTGAAAAGCACTCCCACACCACCTCCCAGAGTGAAGAGCACCCCCACACCCCCTCCCAGAGTGAACAGCACTCCCACACCACCTCCCAGAGTGAACAGCACCCCCACACCACCTCCCAGAGTGAAGAGCACCCCCACACCACCTCCCAGAGTGTAGAGCACCCCCACACCCCCTCCCAGAGTGAAAAGCACCCCCACACCACCTCCCAGAGTGAAAAGCACCCCCACACCACCTCCCAGAGTGAAAAGCACTCCCACACCACCTCCCAGAGTGAAAAGCACCCCCACACCACCTCCTAGAGTGAAAAGCACCCCCACACCACCTCCTAGAGTGAAAAGCACCCCCACACCACCTCCCAGAGTGAAAAGCACCCCCACACCCCCTCCCAGAGTGAAAAGCACCCCCACACCACCTCCCAGAGTGAAAAGCACCCCCACACCACCTCCCAGAGTGAAAAGCACCCCCACACCACCTCCCAGAGTGAAAAGCACCCCCCACACCACCTCCCTGAGTGAACAGCACTCCCACACCACCTCCCAGAGGAGCAGTACTCCCACACCACCTCCCAGAGTGAAGAGCACCCCCACACCACCTCCCAGAGTGAAGAGCACCCCCACACCACCTCCCAGAGTGAAGAGCACCCCCACACCACCTCCCAGAGTGAAGAGCATCCCCACACCACCTCCCAGAGTGAAGAGCACCCCCACACCACCTCCCAGAGTGAAGAGCACCCCCACACCACCTCCCAGAGTGAAAAGCACCCCCACACCACCTCCCAGAGTGAAGAGCACCCCCACACCACCTCCCAGAGTGTAGAGCACCCCCACACCACCTCCCAGAGTGTAGAGCACCCCCACACCACCTCCCAGAGTGTAGAGCACCCCCACACCACCTCCCAGAGTGAAAATCACCCCCACACTACCTCCCAGAGTGAAAATCACCCCCACACCACCTCCCAGAATGAAAATCACCCCCACACCACCTCCCAGAGTGAAAATCACCCCCACACCACCTCCCAGAGTGAAAATCACCCCCACACCACCTCCCAGAGTGAAAAGCACCCCCACACCACCTCCCAGAGTGAAAAGCACCCCCACACCACCTCCCAGAGTGTAGAGCACCCCCACACCACCTCCCACAGTAAACATATCCAGTCTTACGACCCAGTAACCCGTCGTAAATTCGCTTGGACTGCGAACTTTTTTGGATATCGTAAGATGGCAGTAAGGAATCATTTCTCTCCCCCAGTTGGTCTGATGTTTTGGCGGGGGTTCGAGATCCCCCCGACTGGTGCAAGGAACAGGTGGATGCAAGGCGCCATATGGACGGTGGTGGACAGAGACCCCAGCTGTCACCGGAAGTCCCAGGTGTATAACCCGGCCGGCTTGCCGACTGTCCCAGCGGCCGGCTTTAACAGCGAGAGTGAGAGTAGGAAGGTTAGGTTAGGTTGCTTTGTCAAGGATAAGTTGATGATTTCGCGATTGCAATGCTTAGATAAAGGCGCATTTTCGCGCTTGCAAGGCTTAGATAAAAGCGCATTTTCGCAATTTCTAACATAAAGGCGCATTTTCGCGCTTGCAAGGCTCAGATAACGGCGCATTTCGCAATTGCTAGGCTTAGATAAAGGCGCATTTTCGCAATTGCTAAGATGAAGGCGCATTTCGCGCTTGCAAGGCTCAGATAACGGCGCATTTCGCAATTGCTAGGCTTAGATAAAGGCGCATTTTCGCAATTTCTAAGATAAAGGCGCATTTTTGCAATTGCAAGGCTAAGATAAAGGCGAGAAACAAAGGGCAGAGTTTCATTCACCCTATACCCCTGTTACCTAGCAGTAAAATAGGTACCTGGGAGTTAGTCAGCTGTCACGGGCTGCTTCCTGGGGGGTGGAGGCCTGGTCGAGGACCGGGCCGCGGGGACACTAAAAAGCCCCGAAATCATCTCAAGATAACACAGTATCCCGTGATAGCACGTCATGGCTCGCTGGTTGTAGGAGATGCTCATTCCTAGATCTCCTGTACACAGTCTGGGATAATATACATTTTATAATGTTATTCTGGAGAATATATATAATATATATATATATATATATATATATATATATATATATATATATATATATATATATATATATATATATATATATATATATATAATATAGATTTATATAGGTTTTAGCTAATGTTATATAAATGCTAGTTAAGGGCTTTGAATTACCTGAATATTGAAGATCAGTCTTCAGTCTCGTTTTCTGTAAGGTAATTACCTTGTTTAGTGGTGGTTGTGTTGTGGTAACAGGTGTGTGTGTGGGGGGGGGGGGGGTGCTCCTCCATGTGCAGATGTGTGGGGGGCACACGTGGTCGCCTGCAGGTGTGTGGGGGCACACGTGGTCCCCTGCAGGTGTGTGGGGGCACACGTGGTCCCCTGCAGGTGTGTGGGGGCACACGTGGTCGCCTGCAGGTGTGTGTGGGGGTCACATGGTCGCCTGCAGGTTTGTGGGAGTCACATGACCCCCTGCAGGTGTGTGGGAGCACAAACGATCCCCCTGCAGGTGTGTGGGAGCCATATGATCCCCCTGCAGGTGTGTGGGAGCCATATGATCCCCCTGCAGGTGTGTGGAGCCACATGCTCCCCTGCAGGTATGTGAAGCCACATGATCCCCTGCAGGTGTGTGTGAAGCCACATGGTCCCCTGCAGGTGTGTGGGAGGCCACATGATCCCCTACAGGTGTGTGGGAGGCCACATGATCCCCTACAGGTGTGTAGAGCCACATGGCGTGGACCTCTTCCTTAACAATAATGTTGAATAACTTAAGAAAGTTGACGAACAACTTCCGGTGATTTACAAGACATTAATGTTAACGACTTAACACAATTGGTGGCAGTTATGTAGCCAGTTATGTAGTCAGTTATGTAGTCAGTTATGTAGTCATGTAGCCAGTTATGTTGCCAGTTATGTAGTCATGTAGCCAGTTATGTTGCCAGTTATGTAGTCATGTAGCCAGTTATGTAGCCAGTTATGTAGTCAGTTATGTAGTCAGTTATGTAGCCAGTTATGTAGCCAGTTATGTAGCCAGTTATGTAGCCAGTTATGTACTCAGTTATGTAGTCAGTTATGTAGCCAGTTATGTAGTCAGTTATGTAGTCAGTCATGTAGCCAGTTATGTTGCCAGTTATGTAGTCAGTTATGTAGCCAGTCATGTAGTCAGTTATGTAGCCAGTTATGTAGTCAGTTATGTAGCCAGTTATGTAGTCAGTTATGTAGCCAGTTATGTAGCCAGTTATGTAGCCAGTTATGTAGTCAGTTATGTAGCCAGTTATGTAGCCAGTTATGTAGTCAGTTATGTTGCCAGTTATGTAGTCAGTTATGTAGCCAGTTATGTAGCCAGTTATGTAGCCAGTTATGTAGTCAGTTATGTTGCCAGTTATGTAGTCAGTTATGTAGCCAGTCATGTAGCCAGTTATGTTGCCAGTTATGTAGCCAGTTATGTTGCCAGTTATGTAGCCAGTTATGTAGTCAGTTATGTAGCCAGTCATGTAGCCAGTTATGTTGCCAGTTATGTAGCCAGTTATGTAGCCAGTTATGTAGCCAGTTATGTAGCCAGTTATGTAGCCAGTTATGTAGTCAGTTATGTAGCCAGTTATGTAGCCAGTTATGTAGTCAGTTATGTAGCCAGTTATGTAGCCAGTTATGTAGCCAGTTATGTACTCAGTTATGTACTCAGTTATGTACTCAGTTATGTACTCAGTTATGTAGTCAGTTATGTAGCCAGTTATGTAGTCAGTTATGTAGCCAGTTATGTAGCCAGTTATGTAGTCAGTTATGTAGCCAGTTATGTAGCCAGTTATGTAGCCAGTTATGTAGCCAATTATGTAGCCAGTTATATAGTTATGTAGCCAGTTATATAGCCAGTTATATAGCCAGTTATGTAGCCAGTTATATAGTTATGTAGCCAGTTATATAGCCAGTTATATAGCCAGTTATATAGCCAGTTATATAGCCAGTTATATAGCCAGTTATATAGTTATGTAGCCAGTTATGTAGCCAGTTATATAGTTATGTAGCCAGTTATATAGCCAGTTATGTAGCCAGTTATATAGTTATGTAGCCAGTTATATAGTTATGTAGCCAGTTATATAGCCAGTTATGTAGCCAGTTATATAGTTATGTAGCCAGTTATATAGCCAGTTATATAGTTATGTAGCCAGTTATGTAGCCAGTTATGTAGCCAGTTATGTAGCCAGTTATATAGCCAGTTATGTAGCCAGTTATGTAGTCAGTTATATAGTTATGTAGCCAGTTATATAGCCAGTTATATAGTTATGTAGCCAGTTATGTAGCCAGTTATGTAGCCAGTTATGTAGCCAGTTATGTAGCCAGTTATGTAGCCAGTTATATAGCCAGTTATATAGCCAGTTATGTAGCCAGTTATGTAGCCAGTTATATAGCCAGTTATATAGCCAGTTATATAGCCAGTTATGTAGCCAGTTATATAGCCAGTTATGTAGCCAGTTATCTGGCCAGTTGTGTAGCCAGTTATGTAGTCAGTTATGTAGCCAGTTGTGTAGCAAGTTATGTAGCCAGTTGTGTAGCCAGTTATGTAGTCAGTTATATAGCCAGTTATCTAGCCAGTTGTGTAGCCAGTTATGTAGCCAGTTATATAGCCAGTTATGTAGCCAGTTATGTAGCCAGTTATGTAGCCAGTTATATAGCCAGTTATATAGCCAGTTATCTAGCCAGTTATCTAGCCAGTTGTGTAGCCAGTTATGTAGCCAGTTATGTAGCCAGTTATGTAGCCAGTTATATAGCCAGTTATGTAGCCAGTTATGTAGCCAGTTATATAGCCAGTTATGTAGCCAGTTATCTGGCCAGTTATATAGCCAGTTATATAGCCAGTTATGTAGCCAGTTATGTAGCCAGTTATATAGCCAGTTATGTAGCCAGTTATCTAGCCAGTTATATAGCCAGTTATGTAGCCAGTTATCTGGCCAGTTATATAGCCAGTTATGTAGCCAGTTATGTAGCCAGTTATGTAGCCAGTTATATAGCCAGTTATGTAGCCAGTTATCTAGCCAGTTATATAGCCAGTTATATAGCCAGTTATGTAGCCAGTTATGTAGCCAGTTATGTAGCCAGTTATATAGCCAGTTATGTAGCCAGTTATGTAGCCAGTTATATAGCCAGTTATGTAGCCAGTTATCTGGCCAGTTGTGTAGCCAGTTATGTAGTCAGTTATGTAGCCAGTTGTGTAGCCAGTTGTGTAGCAAGTTATGTAGCAAGTTATGTAGCCAGTTATATAGCCAGTTATGTAGCCAGTTATCTGGCCAGTTGTGTAGCCAGTTATCTAGTCAGTTATATAGCCAGTTATGTAGTCAGTTATATTTGGTGATAATGATATCTGTGAGTGTGTTGGGTTATCTCATTATAGGTTTTAGAGCTGGGAGCGGCACTTGTATATCTGATATTTACAATTATTTTACATTAAAATATTACCTTGGTGTTAACAGAGGGAAGACTGGGAATGTTTATATGTGTTCATGCTTTAAGGTATGATGATGGTGGTGATGAGTTTGATGAGGTTGTGTGTTGGTTTGTAGGGCTGTCTTTGTAGGTGTTAAATTGTTGGGTAGTGTTGAAAGTTGCAGTGTTTCTTGTGCTCTCTGTCTGTCTGTCTGTCTGTCTGTCTGTCTGTCTGTCTGTCTGTCTGTCTGTCTGTCTGTCTGTCTGTCTGTCTGTCTGTCTGTCTGTCTGTCCGTCTGTCTCTCTGTCTCTCTCTCTGTCTCTCTCTCTGTCTCTCTCTCTGTCTCTCTCTCTGTCTCTCTCTCTCTCTCTCTGTCTCTGTCTCTCTGTCTCTGTCTCTCTCTCTCTGTCTCTCTCTCTCTGTCTCTCTCTCTCTGTCTCTCTCTCTCTGTCTCTCTCTCTCTGTCTCTCTCTCTCTGTCTCTCTCTCTCTGTCTCTCTCTCTCTGTCTCTCTCTCTCTGTCTGTCTGTCTCATACGCTGAAGCGCTCACTCACACATACACGCCTGGCGCTCAAGTACACAGTCACATGTACAGAACAACAGACGAATCTCCTGTTAACGTCTCCCGTTACCACCTAAACGGAAAAAATTCAGGACAGGGGGTGCCAAAGAGGGGTCTCTGTTGCCCCCCCCCTCCCCCCTCAGTCTGCCCCCCCCCCCTTGCCCCCAGAGACGGGTGCCTGGGGGGGGGGTATTTGACCCCCTAACAAAGACCAGTGTTGGTTCTGTCATTCATGAACGGATCAACATTGACTCATCTCCGCGTCGGTGAGTACATCCCTGTGTGAATTGAAGCCCCGCTGAGTTGGGTATGAATGGTGGAGAGTGAGAGTGAGAGTGAGTGAGTGAGTGAGAGAGAGTGAGAGTGAGAGTGAGTGAGTGAGTGAGAGAGTGTGAGAGGAACACCCTCACTATCATGCCCCTCATCAAATCATCATTCACCTGCTCTTCAAATCATTCAAATGTTTGTTGTCCATTCTCACACACATTCCATATGCGTCCCAGAGGCGTGTGGATCCATCTAACTGTTGCTGCTGGTCATGTGTACACCCGTGTGTCATGAGGTGAAAGAAAACCTGCTCAATCATATCTGCCGCGCCCGAGGTCCCTCGATTGCGAGTCGCCGACGCAGGCTACTGCGCTAATGAACCCTTAATTATGGAATTAGTCTCCTATACCTCCTAGTTTTCACAACTCATAGCGTTTAAATATTTAATTCACCTGGGCTGTTGGAGACTCGAACCGTGGACCCAGAATGTGAGGGATCGAAGCTTTATCCACCGTGCTATTGAGTGGTCTTAATAGGGAATGTTTCCCGAAGCAGCAGACTACTGTCAAACTGAGATTTTTGGATTTTCCGGGACCAAACTTTCGTAGAAATAAACATTCTATTCACCTGAGGTGCTGTATTCACCTGGGGTGCTGTATTCACCTGGGGTGCTGTATTCACCTGGGGTGCTGTATTCACCTGGGGTGCTGTATTCACCTGGGGTGCTGTATTCACCTGGGGTCCCTGTATTCACCTGGGGTCCCTGTATTCACCTGGGGTCCCTGTATTCACCTGGGGTGCTGTATTCACCTGGGGTGCTGTATTCACCTGGGGTCCCTGTATTCACCTGGGGTGCTGTATTCACCTGGGGTCCCTGTATTCACCTGGGGTCCCTGTATTCACCTGGGGTGCTGTATTCACCTGGGGTGCTGTATTCACCTGGGGTGCTGTATTCACCTGGGGTCCCTGTATTCACCTGGGGTCCCTGTATTCACCTGGGGTCCCTGTATTCACCTGGGGTACCTGTATTCACCTGGGGTCCCTGTATTCACCTGGGGTGCTGTATTCACCTGGGGTGCTGTATTCACCTGGGGTGCTGTATTCACCTGGGGTGCTGTATTCACCTGGGGTCCCTGTATTCACCTGGGGTGCTGTATTCACCTGGGGTGCTGTATTCACCTGGGGTGCTGTATTCACCTGGGGTGCTGTATTCACCTGGGGTCCCTGTATTCACCTGGGGTCCCTGTATTCACCTGGGGTCCCTGTATTCACCTGGGGTGCTGTATTCACCTGGGGTCCCTGTATTCACCTGGGGTGCTGTATTCACCTGGGGTGCTGTATTCACCTCGGGTGCTGTATTCACCTGGGGTGCTGTATTCACCTGGGGTGCTGTATTCACCTGGGGTGCTGTATTCACCTGGGGTCCCTGTATTCACCTGGGGTCGCTGTATTCACCTGGGGTGCTGTATTCACCTGGGGTGCTGTATTCACCTGGGGTGCTGTATTCACCTGGGGTCCTGTATTCACCTGGGGTGCTGTATTCACCTGGGGTGCTGTATTCACCTGGGGTCCCTGTATTCACCTGGGGTGCTGTATTCACCTGGGGTCCCTGTATTCACCTGGGGTGCTGTATTCACCTGGGGTCCCTGTATTCACCTGGGGTCCCTGTATTCACCTGGGGTCCCTGTATTCACCTGGGGTGCTGTATTCACCTGGGGTGCTGTATTCACCTGGGGTCCCTGTATTCACCTGGGGTCCCTGTATTCACCTGGGGTCCCTGTATTCACCTGGGGTGCTGTATTCACCTGGGGTGCTGTATTCACCTGGGGTGCTGTATTCACCTGGGGTGCTGTATTCACCTGGGGTCCCTGTAATCACCTGGGGTCCCTGTATTCACCTGGGGTCCCTGTAATCACCTGGGGTCCCTGTATTCACCTGGGGTCCCTGTATTCACCTGGGATGCTGTATTCACCTGGGGTGCTGTATTCACCTGGGGTGCTGTATTCACCTGGGGTGCTGTATTCACCTGGGGTACCTGTATTCACCTGGGGGTCCTGTATTCACCTGGGGTCCCTGTATTCACCTGGGGTGCTGTATTCACCTGTAGTCATCCTGTATTAGCGGTTTATTCTGGTCAATGACAATAGTTAATTCTCCTTATGATCTGGTATGTCGTGATCATGTCTCGGCATTGTTACACTGAAACATGTTCCATTTTTACCCGTGGCTCAGTCTTCTCAGTACGG